AGAGCGGGCACATCAGCTGGTAACAGTTCAGAAACAGATGTACATTCCTGCAGAAAACTCCGACGTTAGCATATCCAATTACTTTGAAACTGTGCTCTGCTCCAACTGTCTTATCCCTAAAGCCTCACTCTCCTTACCTCCTGCCTCTTATCTGCGCTGCTCACTTGCTGCTCCTTTGCATTTGATTATAAACTTGTCACTGCAGGGTGAATGCTTTGGGAAACATCCGTCTGCCACGTCTGGCCACTGCTGCGGTGCAGCACAAGGAATAAGGAAACAAAGCCCACAAAGCAGAAGTGCAAGGCGAAACGTGACTGCCTTTGCAAAGACAGCATGTGGAAGATGCACACACTAGTGCATCCCCTAAGTCACACCGAAGGCAAGGGAAAAAAAAAATCAGCTTGACAACACCTGACTACAGTAGAGGCCATTCGATGATGGATGCAATTTGCAACAGGGTAATTTCTGAAAGAAGAGGTGATGCTTTTCTCTATAGCAGCAGGTAGTGAGGAGGAGGACAGCAGTAAGTACAGCAGCATCTTTCTCCTTTCAGTTTGCTCAAAAAATTTCTGTCCCTGGCAGCTCCCCCAACAGAGAGGAGCTGGAAGAGCAGTCTGAGCATGTTGAAATGCTATCGCCTTTACTGCCAGGGCACCCAACCTTTCCCCGCTTCCTACTGCGGGCAGAGGGAAGGGTGGCAGGAGGCAGAAATCCAAACACTCTCCTCTGCAGAGCAGAGGGGCTGAAGGGTGATTTGCTGGCCAAGACCTGCCAGGGGGACAACTGGACCACAGACTTCCTATGGAGAATAAGCACTGCCCCCAAAGCTTAGTCTGTATTCATTGTTTTCCTCGAATTTAGAAATTTTAGGAGCCTGGTAATAGCAGCAGCAGCAGCATAGTAGATGTCACATTTAAACAGGGCATTAAACTTTCACCACAACTATTTTTTATATTGCAGTTTTTATTTCATAACCTCTTTCCCACCCTGCTGTGGTAGCAGGAAGGATGCATCCACCTCATCCTCCTTGGCCAGCCGTACCTTTGTATGACGTGGCACCCCCACAAACCTCTCAAACTCCCTCTTCCTTCAGGAGAGCCAGATCACATTTCACCCAGGTCTGCGCACATGTAGACCGTGCCTTTGGTCTGCTCCAAGGGAAGATATTTGCAGTATTGTCAACACTGTACTTAGCTCTGGCACTAAGTACTGCTAGGGGACTCAGTGGCCATAAAGAGTACACGCATACACAGCAGCTCTGAAGCGATGCTTGTTGAAGCCGGGCTTATAGACTTCATAATTATGACACAGCCGTGTTTCACCATAAATTTCTCCTAATGAAGCCTGCCTGATAGTAAAAAGCTTTGCATATTTAGAGGTTACGCACAGCAACAGCCCCCTTAGGGAGAAATCCTGCCTCGCTTTGTCGTGCAAACACTACTTCAGGCTTGTTCGCAGAAGCCAGGCAGGAGTCTGGGGCTGTTCATTTATTTATTTAATATAGCCATGGTGTGTGGAGGAGTGAGGGGCTGCTCTGCCGCGGGAGCCTGCTCCTGCTCTGCGCCGTGCAGCCTGGAGCGGCACAGCAGAGAGCATGAGGAGCAGCAGCCGCTCGGCTGGACCAGGACTACGCCACACAGCCACATCCTTTTGCCACTGCGGCTCCAGCATGATGCCCAGGAGCTGCATGTCTCCTGCAGTGCTTGTATGGGATGGGCCCGGTGGTTATTGCAAAGGCAAAAAGCCTGTGCCAGCTAAGAATTGGGCATTTTGAGATACATCCACACAGTCTGCCCCCAAAACTTCTCTGTCCCAAACCCCTGGAAGGATCAAGTCCCACCCCATGGAAACACCTCACTCCCCAGGATATCAAGTCCTGCCTTCGGTAGTCATGACAGGGCAAAAGGAAGATGCCAAATATGTATTAATATGTCGGCAGGGCAGGGGGAGAGGTGAGGCAGCAATAAGCAGCTCTGTTCACTCTCGCAAGCTCAGGTCTGCTTCCCTTGCTCCTGGTGGTCTCAAACACAGACCAAAATGCAGCCCTGCTCCCTCCCCAAGCAGCCTTTTGCAGGCACCTATAGCACCTTTGGGCAGCATACACCGGGTGCTCAGCCCTGTAGCCCAACTGCCCTCCCATGCTCCATGCATCCGTGCAAATCCACAACGGCTTACCACCGTAAATGCATTGCGAGCACATGGAGGAGCCAGTGCTGTTAGTGGGGAACCTGTATGCTGGGAAAACCATGTTTTTTGCAGCTGGAAAGCAGAGGTGCCCCTCCAGTCTTCAGTGATTGTTTCTCTTAATACTTGGAAATACAAATCAAATACCCCTTACGAGGGGTGTTTTGCCCTCCGAGGAACAGTTTCACATTGGCACCACTATCAACACCAGTTTATTTCACTTAGGGGACAGGCAAAGGGCCGTTACTCAGGTTTCCCCAATATAAATGTCATTTGCCCTAACCCAGCCGGGTGTGATATCTACCTTCGGGTCTGTGGGACTGGCGGACACCATCCCAGCCCCCTGTACTCATGGACCTCCAGGTCGCAGATGCAGAGCAGTTGTCAATCCTCAGCCCCAGCCGCCAGCCCTGAGCCCTTCTGGAAACCTGGCTTTGGGGTGTGAGTGGCAGAGGCACCCGTCCTATCCGACTCGCCAGGGTCTTAAATTGGATTAAAAATCTATTTGCAGAACTGCCTTGCTTTCCGACTTCTGTGCTGCACCTGAAAACCTTTCCTTTTGAAAGCAAACACAGGCTCTCCCCAGGGGCTGCCTGGGGAAGTCTTTCCACTATAAACATTACCTACCAGTAGTGGAGTCAGCCCCAGGCAAGCCAAAATTCCTTCTCCTACCAAGGAACACTTTCCAATCAAACCAGACATTATTTTTTCCATTAGTGAGTGTTGATACCTACTGGAAAACTTTGCAAAGAAATCCACTCCAATTATTCTGATACAACATCTACATTTTAGGAGGTTTTTTTGTCTTATTTTTATTATTATTGTTTTATTTTATTTTCCTGCTCTGTATTGAAAACATGATCTTTGCTTCTCAGGAATGCATCTGTTCCTGCAATTTAGGCTGTAACTGAAATCAGAGGTCCAAATCTGATTTTGTTCTGCCTTAGCTCCACGGAAGCAAGCAGAATTTTCCTCTCCATCACACCAGGGAAAATGTGGGAAAAATAGATCCATCCTCTTCTGTTTGATACATCAGAAACCCTGGAGCTGCTACCACAGTTTTTATGCGCTGGGATACCACTATTTCAACAGCAGGATATTCTGGAAGAAAAGACGTCCTCCTACCTGTCTCAGCTGCTGCTTCCCCAAAAACTATTATTTAGTATTTAACAGGGGGGAAAAAGCAGGGAGAAAAATGGCATGCAGATGGGCTGCATGGCCAGCATCGCCTCTCTGGGGTACTCTCCATGGGGTTTTCTACAAACTATTAGCTGCTTTCCAGATGACCCATATTTTGGGCTCCACTGGGTTAGTCCAGGAGGGTTTTTCCATGCCCCCCACAAGTAGGGGGCTTGAAGGGGTTTCCCCCGGCTGCCCCCAGACCTCTACCCTTCCTGCAGCTCAGCGTGCCCCAGGGGACTTCTGCCACTCCAAGGTCACCCCATGGGACCGGGAGGCAGGTCTGCAGGGCAGGGGGTTTGGGGAGCAGAGTGCTGTAAGGGGCAGCTTGCAAAGAGGGCAGCAGGGGGTTTGCAACACCCCCAAGCACCAGGGAGTGCAAAATAAGGCACCATTTTGCAAAAATGTGGCACCTTCTCAAGTGTGCAAGGGTTCACACACCCTGCACCCTGTTTCGGGTAAGGTACCACTGCACCCTAGCCATGGAGCTGGGAGCGGGACCCTCAGCAGCATGGGCTGGGAGGCAGCCTGCAAGCACTCAGCAAGCAGTCCAGCACCCCAAAAAACCCTGGCAGGGAGGTTACCCTGGAGGGGTGCTGTAAATTCAGCATCTATGGTGGTGGTGGTGGCAGGGGGATGGTCGCCAGCTATCTTTTATTCGAGGTGCATTCCCAAGATTTTAGTTAAGTGTAACATAAAACTGTGAAAGTTTAGCAGGGGAAAAGCTTTCCTCCCACTGACCTGGCTGGCCAATCAGAAGGGAGCCCCGCACCTCCCTCACTTCTGACAACTATTTAGCAACTGAGCTCAGCTAAAGTTTCCAAAAAGTTAGAATAACTTCCTCTCTCCAAGACCTCAATTTTTTGCACAACCCCGGTCCTTGAAATAAGAGCCCTTCAAGCAACCTGGAAAACGTTTGGTCAGCAAAAAAAAAAAAAAAAAAAAAAAACCCCCTTTGTTTTTCAA